CCCACCCTGCACAGTTCAGACACTTTCCAAAGTAGGTAAGAGATTTAGCAAGTTTGTTTTCTTATCTACAACAGCTGGGCTCTATCAACCAATACTTGCATCCCCTCCCCGTGCAGCCAGATCTGTGTCTCAGCTGAGCTGGGGTGGGGGCCAGGCCGCCGGCCCCACCAGGCTGCAGGCAGCTGTTTCACGTTAAGGATGATTGCGCTGGTGTTAGCTGGAGCGTTTTGGTGCTTGGCGCACGCTGCCAAAGGGGATGAGGAATAGTTTCAAAGTTCTCCCAGATGCCCGGCCCTTGGCTGAGGGCCTGGGCAGTGGGGGAGGGGAAACCCCAGGCCAAGGAGGGCTCACCAGTGAGGACCCTGCAGGCTCGCTGGCCTCTTGACCATAAAGAATGTGCGATGGGAAAAGTCTACAACGTGGTGCTATTTAGGCCAGGCTGCATTTCAAAGGCCTTGTTTCCACTTCATTCCAAAACTTATTTTCCTTAAACAAGTACTTTTGATCAGCTGGAATGTCAGACTTCTTTTTGGGGTAAGCCACATTTATTTTTCAAAATTGGTTTGTTTGCAAGCCCAGTTGCTAAGATCTGATGTTTTGTATTTTAGACCCAGTGGAGTATGGAAAGCTGAGGGGACTCATTCAGAAATTTCCTCTTGCCATAGATCAATGGCGGGTATGTAGGTCATTGTCTGCAGCCGCTGGAATTCACGGCAAACAAAACTCTACTATTGCTTGATCACCCTTAGGAAAGTTTTCGTGTAAATTAAAGGAACAAGAAAGAACAAATTGCAAGTAAAGACAAGCCAGGATTTCTGTCACAGGCTGGGGAGCGGAACGAAAACTGACTCTGGCTCTAAAACTGTGTTCCACTCGAGATAAAATTCTTTTGTAGTCAGTTGTGAACACGAACCCAGAATGTGATGGTGTTTAGAAGGTCCTAATGGTGTGGCATTTCCACCAGCTGTTTGAAAACTAAGGTGTTTTTTAAACAACCCAATTAGTGTGCACCACCTTCCAAATTATTTCAGAGCAGGGATGCGTGCATGGACATATTTTCCGCCACTCTGTCTGAATCTACTGCTGAGTGCATAAAAGGAAAAAAAAAAAACACAAAAAAACTATTGAGAAGGCCAAAGCTCTGCACCGCCCATGGCAATAGACGGAGGATTGTGAGTGCTGCAGCAGCTCGGGAACCCGGATGAAAGGGCCAGCCTGGGAGGGCCCCGCACGTTGAGGACGACCAGGCAGAGCCTTGGCTGCAAGGCTAGCCCAGCACTAGGCTGCTCCATTTTAAAATCTCCCTGGGGATCTCTGAAATCCCCAGGCTGGCTGTGTGCAGAGAGGAAGCCCGCGAGACTGCATTTGGACCTGGAAGGGAACCACCCCCAGGCATTCATTCTTCAGTTTTGCTTGTGGTGACAAGAGTGAGGGCAGATGTGACTCTGTCTTGAAAGTGGAAGTGGGGTCTCTGTGTCCTCCTTGGCCTGGTGAGTTAGTGGGAGCAAACTCGGCCCCTTTTACCTTCCATCAGGGGCCTGTAGCCACTTTCCATCGTTATATCTCATTTAATTGTGTTTATTTCTTCCTGTTCGAACTCCAGGAGATGTGCAGACCTGTGGCTGTCCAGGGCAGGTCCGGCTCCCTGCTGCTGGTAAGGCTAAGGAGGGAGGGCGGAAAACAGAGGACAGGGGGGAGCCACGGCCTGGCATCTGGACAGGCCTGCCCAGGAGGAGCCCTGTGGGAAGGAGGCAGGTGGGGGCCTGGGCTGCAGGAAGCCACAGCACCACCAGGGCCCAGCCCTGCCTACAGGGGTTCTTCCAGCCTCTCCTGACAGGCTGTGCTAGACCTAGAAAGACTGTGAGTGTGTATGTGTCCAAGGGTATACGTGTCGGTCTGTGGGGGTGTGTCCATATGGAGGGTGTATGTATGTGTGTGTCTGGGTGGGTGTGCACGTTTGTGGGTACTGCCCTGTGCAGGTGCTGGGGTTCTGTCTGTGTGGTGTTTCCTTGGGGGAGGACTGATGTATGGGGCTGTCTGGGGGTGTGTGATCTGTGTGTATCCATATGGGGGGATATGGATGTCTGGAGGTGTGAGGGTCTGTGAGTGTATCTGTGTGGTTGTGGGTGTGTCTTACTCTGTGTGTGGGGGAGGGTGTGGGTTTGAGTGTGTTGCTCTGCCCGTGTGTAGGTATGTGTGTAGATCGTGTGTGGGTTTGGGTGTGTCTGTTGCTGTGGGTGGGTGTGTCTGTGTAGCTAACGCTGTGTGGGTAGGTGTGTGGGTCTGTGGGGTGTGAGGGAGGGCCTGTCAGTGTTGCTGTAGGTTTGGATCTGGATGGGTCTCCGTGTGTGGGAGTGTGTCCCTGTGGGGGTGGGGGTGTTAACAACACCTACAGAGGAAAAGCAGCCCTTTTTAGCAGGCCTCTTTCAAGTTAAAAACTGCTTTCAAAACCCGGAAATGATGGCCAGGCTGTCATCCGCTTCCTGCAGGGCGGTGGGCAGAACGGGGCTGAGGGGGAGGGTGGCAGACAGGCCCACGGGCCTGCAGGGACCCCAGGCCCACCATACTGCGGGGCACACCTGCCAAGGACAGGCCTCCTGGGCCTGACTAGAGGGACATATTTAGAAACAAGTCTCTGGTTGGAGGAGGACAGGGCCCATTTATTTTCATCTGTGCAGAAATAGCTCTTGTCAGATAGGAGTTCTGGTGCCCTCTGGGTGAGACCAGAGGCAGCTAGCTCCGAAATAGAAGGAAAGATATTAAGGACTTTAGGCAGACAAGAAAACTCCTAAACTCGCTGAAACCGAGTTTAAAATATTTCTCTAAAAATAAGCCTGTTTTCCTTGTGGATCCCTCTGGCAGTAAGGCGCTGTGTCGGGGCTTAGCTGGCCTGGGAAGCCAGGCGGAATTTTTTAAAAAGCAAGTGTTTCCCAGCTGTGGCCTTGGAAAGTTCTCTGTTTTCCATTTATTAAACTCCTAGTTTCCGGCTAATTAAAATTATTTTCAAATAAAACTCCCTGGCCCAGCAATATTTGATGAAACACAGAATTCCCGGTGACCCCCTCTGCAGGAGGCGGACCTGCTGTGGGGTGGCCTGTGACCCCTCCTCTGGGCTGGTGCTGGTTTTACCAGGAGGGGGGAGCCTTTGAAATGCACGCCCAAGGCCTTGCTTTAGCAAATCCCCCCACTCCTGGGGTGACTGGGGTGAAAGGCCCCTCGCAGGGCAGTCTCCGAGCCCTGCTTCACTTGACAAGGGGCTGTGGGTCATTGAGAACCTACTCTTTCTTTCCCTGCACCCCTGGGCAGAGAAGGGGTACACTTCAGGGGACAAGAACTCTACTGTGTGGCAGGTGATGCTGTGCTGCCTTGTCCGGCTACTGTCGAAGATTCAGGTCCAGTTGGGCCAATGTGCCAGGACTTTACTGGGCACCTCCTGGATGCCCAGACTCCCGGGCAACAGTGTGAAGGTGGAAATCAGAGATGCTGCAGGCAGGAGGCATGTATTGCTGAGGCCAGAGGTGATGTGATGAAGAGTTGCTGACAGGTCCCCCTCACTGCCCTAGGATTCAATTCACATATCACAGGGGTGACATGTGGGGATTGCTTGCGAGACTTTTCATTCATCCCACAGATAGTTCTTGATCACCTAGTAAATGCCTGCACAGGGGTAACATGATCTGACAGATGTCATCCTGCCTTCATGGAGTATACATAATGTTTTCAAGGTTTATTCATGATGTAGCTTGAATTAGCCTTTATTCTTTTGTATGGCAGCATAATATTCCATTGTATGGATATACCATATTTTGTTTATTCATCAGCTGATAGACATTGGAGTTGTTTTCACCTTTTGGCCATTGTTGAACAATGCTGCTATGAACATCCATCTTCAGTTTTTGTTTAAACATATGTTTTCAATTCTTCTGGTTATATACATAGAAGTAGAATTGCTGAATCACATGGTAACTCTATGTCTGACATTTTTGAGGACTGTCATACTATTTTTCAGTGATACACTAATTTTTGTAACTATTTAATGAATGTCTGTTTCCTCTACTCAACCTGATGCGTGCTCTATGATGTCCACATTAAAAAACACGTACAGCCCTGGCCAGTTTGGCTCAGCAGTAGTGCATAGGTCCACGGACCAATGAGTCTCAGGTTCGATTCTGGTCAAGGGCATGTACCTCAGTTGTGGTTCGTCGGGCCCTGGTCAGGGTCATGCGGGAGGCAACCAGTCGATGTGTCCCTCTCATGTCGATGTTTCTCTCTCTCCCGTTCTCTCTACCTGAAGATAAATAGAAAAATATCCTCAGGTGAGGATTAAAACACACACACACACACACACACACACACAAAACCACGTACACTCATTCACAATAGCTAAAAAGTAGAAAGAACCCAAATGTCCATCAACAGATGGATAAACAAACAAAAGTGGTGTATCTATACAGTGGAATAGTATTTAGTCATAAAAAAGAATAAAGTGTTGATTCATGGTACAACATGAATGAACCTTTAAAACATTGTTACATGAACGAAGCCAGACACAAAAGACCACATATTATGTGATTCTTCTTATATGAAATGTCCAGAATAAGTAAATCCATGGAGACAAAAAGTAGATTTGTGTTTGACAGGGGCTAGAGGATGAGGGGGAATGACTGATGGTAAATACAGTGTTTCTTTCTGGGTTGATTACAATATTCTGGAATTAGATAGTGGTGATGGTTGCACAACCTTGTGAATGTCCTAAAATGTGTATATTTGTGTACTTTAATCTGGTGAATTTTATTGTATATGAATTATATCTTAATTGTTTTTAAGATTACTGAAATCCAGGGTATGAAAGGGAAGGACAGAGAATGAGAGACCCTCTGTCAGGAAAACTGACCTCACTTAGGATCTGGGATGCTTCTAAAGAAGTAAAAAGGGCACAGGGCAAGTAGAAGTAAGGCAAAGGGCCAGCAAGAGAGTTTTCCAAGGAAAGGAACAGCTAGGTGTTTGGTTCGGCAGCACACAGACTAAAAATTGGAACGATGCAGAGATGAGCATGGCCATTGCACAAGGATGACATGCAAATTCGTGAAGCATTCCATATTTTTAAAAGGTTATTAGAATTATTGTGGTGATCACCTAGTAAAGTATATAGATGTCACATGACTGTGTTGTAACCTGAAAGTAATGTAGTATTGTATATCAACTATACTTTGATTTAAAAAAAAAGGAGCAGCTAGTGCAAAAGGAGCAGCTAGTGCAAAAGCAGAGAGAAAAGGAAAGGTGGATTTAGTACCTGGGGGCGGAGAACAGAGCAAAGTGGCACAGGATGGGGCTGGGCAGCAAGCTCAATGCTCAAGAGACCACTAGCCTGTCCTGGCTGGTGTGGCTCAGTTGGTTGAGCATTGTCCCATGCTTCAGTAGGTCACCCGTTTGATACCCAGTCAGGGCACATGCCTGGGTTGTGGGCTCAATCCCCAGTACAGAAGGCAAGCCAATCAATATTTCTCTCTCTCACTGATGTTCTCTCTCACTGATGTTCTCTCTCACTGATGTTCTCTCTCCCTCTCCCTTCCTCTCTCTAAAATCAATAAAAGCATATTTTATAAAAGAGAGAGAGAGGCCACTAGCCTGCCTTCTGCCCCTCATAATTCCTATATTACAGCATCATATTTTTGGTTTGATAATTTCTACAGTTTTCTTATATTATCCTTTGGAATTTGCTGTATTTCAGTTAAATGTTTTCCATTAACTTTTTAAATGAAAAAAAAAAAAAAATGTCCTCAGAGACCCCCTAAAAATGTAAACACCCCTGGGAGGGGACTCATTGGGTCCTTTTATCCCAGAGCTCAGTAGGTCATCACCAGTGAGAGGAACTGGGTCCCAGTTGCTGCCATTTATCCACACTGTGTGAGCTTCAGTTTCTTCATTTGAAAAAAGTGGGTTAATCTATTGTCCTTGTTTTTGTTGTAAAGATTAACAAAATAATATTATATTATTATGAGATAATATTTGCCAGATGCTTTGCCCAGTGCCTAGAGGTGGCAAGTATTCAACAAGAACTAGCCGGCTATTATTATTATTACCATCATGGTTCACCCTCTTTTTCTTCCCTTCCTCCCCCAGCTCATGCCCACAGGTCTCCTGGTTGGAATTCCTTCAAGATCCTAAAAGGGACTCTTTATGGAGCGCCTATTATGTACTAAAGCTTTATGTATGTTAATAACAGTCTTTATATTGACCCAGGACTGAGAGACTATTACTGTCCCTCTTGCAAAGATATGGAAACTGAGTTCAGAGAAGTTATATGCCCGAGGCCAAGCGCTGGGAAAGGCTGAAGCAAATTCAAAGGAATCTAATGTGTTGCTCTTTCAGATGGCCCCGGGCTGCCTCTCTGACTCTCCCTGCCTTACTCCCACACTGTCTATAAACCCAGATTTCCACATCTGTGCTTTTAAAACACAGTTAGTTCAAGTCATCCTTTGCTCAAAATCCTTGCTGCGAATAGAATGTAAAATCTTCGCAAGGCCTACAAAGTCCACATTATCACTGGGAATAATCCTACCTGCCCCACAGCCCCAGTTTCTTTTCTGACCTAACTCCTCCCCTCCTGCTCCAACCACACAGGTTTCCTTTCTGTCTCAGGGCCTTTGCACTTGCTATTCCCTCTGTCATGCTCTTCTAATGACTTGTTTCCTTCCATTTTCTGCTAAGTGTCACCTTTTCAGGGGCCACCCAGACTACCCTGTCTAACACAACAGCCTCATCTGGCATTTCTTCTTGCTTGTCCTGCTTTATTTTTCCTAGCATTTGTCATCCTCTGACATCTTTTAAGTGCCTTTATACACACACACACACACACACACACACACACAGTCCTTCCTTCTTAGACTCTAAGCTTCACATCTAATCAATAGGCACCCAATCTAAGGTGTGTCTGGAAGGTCCCCTAGTCTCCTCCCACCAAACTCTCCCAACCACATGGGCCTTAAGATGAGAGTGGAAACTGCTCCCCTTTGGAAATTCTAGATAGAGCTTTCCTGTCCAATATGGTAGGAACTAGCCACATGGGGCTATTTAAATTTAAATTAAATTAAACAAAATTTAAAATTTACTTCTTCAGTCGTATTAGCCACATTTCAAGTGCTCCATAGCCACATGAAGCTAGGGGCTACTGCACTGAACAGCCCAGACTATTTCCATCATTGCACAAAGTTCTGGTGAACAGCATGGCTGTTCTAGAATATTCTACTAAAATGCAAACAACTATAAAGAAGGAAGCCTCTGTCATCTGACCCTCGTTTCCAAAGCAAGTTCTAGGACACAACCATGATGCCTTTGATGACTCTATCTCCCCTCACAATCCAAGAGAGTCCAGTATATTCCGAAGCAACTGCTCTGCCCAGGAGACTCTGTGCCAGTGGAGGGGAAATGAAGGGACTGCCCACCTCGGTGGCACCTCACAGCCCCGCCTAGCAGCCTGGGACCTGCTCCTCACACCTAGAGATAGATCCTCAGCCAAGCCCTCCTGTTGTCCCTGTCTCCACAGCTGAGGTACCACAATGGAACTTGGCATCATCCTGATGTCTTTCTCTAGCCTCCCTCTACCCCTTTCCTCGGCTAGCGAACCTAGTGACTGTCTTCTAACCATGCCTAGATGCTGCCCCTCTCTGTCTTCACCATCTCAGCAACCCAGGCCCCCACCGCTCAGCTGGACAGCAGGTGGACCAGGGGCCCCGAATGCTCCTCCTCCCAGCCTCCATCACCCAGAGCCAGCTGCAAAAACACCGAAGTGACCGTGCCCCCCCCCCCCCCGAGACCCTGAAGGGCTCTCTCAATTGTCGCTCAAATCCAAGCTTCTAGACACGCAGGTTGAGGCTCTGCCTCCATGCACGCCTGTCCTCGGCTGCCTGGAGCATCCCTGGTGTCCCCACTTCCTCAGCCTCAGCCCCAGCCCCAGCCCCGGGGCCCTGTGCGGGCACAGAACACACTGCCCTACCCCGTCCTCCTCTCCAGCCTGGAAGGCCCTTCAAATGAGAGCCGTCACGGTCCTCTGCACACCCCAACCTCGCTCCTACAAGGGCCCCAGTACCCGCGCCAACCCGCGCTCTGAGAGGGCACTGTTCTCTCCCGTTGGACCGAGGAGGACGGTGAAGCTCAGAGAAACAAAGACACTTGCCCGTGGTCCCCCAGCTCACAAATGGTGGTGCCACGACGCCACCCACACCCACACCCCATGCCAGGGCGGAGGGCCCGGCTGCTCACGACAGACAGGGCCTCTCGGGCGTTTCCCCTCTGACTCGTGCAGGCGTGTTGGGCCGTCCAGACGGTGACGCTGAGCCCAGCGCGGAGGAGTCCCTGCCGGGCTGCCTCCGCCGAGGCTTCCGGGCTGTGTGCAGCTCTGCCTACAGGCATTTACACGCACACGTGCGTGTGGCTCGGCTCGCCGAGGGGCTGTGCTGTCCCCGTGCTCCCGCGCCGGTCCCGCACCTTCTCTTAACGGCGGGTGGTTTCCACACGCGAGGGCCCGTTCACTACGCACAGCCTCACACACCCAGCCTCACACACTCAGCCTCACGCACCCATCCTCACGCCCAGCCTCACACCCATCCTCACGCACAGCCTCACACACCCATCCTCACGCCCAGCCTCACGCACCCAGCCTCACGCCCAGCCTCACACACCCATCCTCACGCCCAGCCTCACGCACCCAGCCTCACACCCATCCTCACGCCCAGCCTCACGCACCCAGCCTCACGCCCAGCCTCACGCCCATCCTCATGCCCAGCCTCACACACCCAGCCTCACGCCCAGCCTCACGCACAGCCTCACGCCCAGCCTCACGCACCCAGCCTCACGCCCAGCCTCACACACCCATCCTCACGCCCAGCCTCACGCACCCATCCTCACGCCCAGCCTCACGCCCATCCTCACGCTCAGCCTCACGTACAGCCTCACGCACAGCCTCACACTCAGCCTCACGCTCAGCCTCACGCCCATCCTCACGCTCAGCCTCACGTACAGCCTCACGCTCAGCCTCACGCCCAGCCTCACGCGCAGCCTCACGCCCATCCTCACGCTCAGCCTCACGTACAGCCTCACGCCCAGCCTCACGCGCAGCCTCACGCCCATCCTCACGCGCAGCCTCACGCCCATCCTCACGCCCAGCCTCACGCCCATCCTCACGCGCAGCCTCACGCCCATCCTCACGCCCAGCCTCACGCCCATCCTCACGCGCAGCCTCACGCCCATCCTCACGCCCAGCCTCACGCCCATCCTCACGCGCAGCCTCACGCCCATCCTCACGCGCAGCCTCACGCCCATCCTCACGCCCATCCTCACGCCCATCCTCACGCCCATCCTCACGCGCAGCCTCACGCCCATCCTCACGCGCAGCCTCACGCCCATCCTCACGCCCATCCTCACGCGCAGCCTCACGCCCATCCTCACGCCCATCCTCACGCCCATCCTCACGCCCATCCTCACGCGCAGCCTCACGCCCATCCTCACGCGCAGCCTCACGCACAGGCCTGGGGAGAGCGTCCCCCGGGGCCCCGGGGGCAGCGTGGCAGGGCGGCTCCCCTGCTCTGGGGAGCTGTCAGTGTGTTTACGGCCTCGAAGCCCGCCCCCCAGGAACCCTCCGAAAGTGCTGCACCGAACGCCCGCGGGCCCCGGAGGCCGTTTCCACCCCAGCCCACTGCCTCCTGGCTGCCCACGAAAGGGGGCCGCTCCTTGGGGGGTGGCGTCTGTCTCCTGGCCCGTCCTCCAGCCCTCGGGGGCCGAGCCGCATCTCCCCATCTCCCTGCCCCTGTGCCTCCGGGCCGGGGGTCCGGCCACCAGGCTCAGGGCCCCTGGGGCTGGAGGGCAAAGAAGTAGAAGATTCTCCCACTGCACCCGCGACTGTGGGGGGGCAGCAGAGCTCCTCCGAGACAGCCGTGTTGCCAGAGGAGGGTGTGAGACGAGGTGCGTCTGTGAGTGGCGGTGTGTGGGGGTGTCAGTGTGCGTGTGTCTCAGGGCGGTTGTGTGGTCGTTATGTAATAGAGGCGCTCCCTGGGGCCAGCAAACCGCAGTGGTGTAACCGCCGGCTGGCTGGGCCACCAGGAGGAAA